GGGACGGAGAAGAGCCCTGGAGGGAGCGGCCGCGGGTCTCCCCCGAGGTCCGGGTCACCGAGCACCCGCCGCAGACCTGGCTTTTTGCTGGCGCTGGGAGTCGAGACTGGCTGGGCGGCGGCGTTCCCAGCCGTTGAGGGCGTCCGTGCTGCACGGTGCTCTCTGTTGCTGCTGGAAGAGACCTCCCAGCGCGAGAAAGGCCCCGTGAGCAGGGAAAGTAGGATGTACACCCGGGAGGGCGGTGCGTGAGGGAAGTAGGGAGGCCTCACCCACGTGTCTGCGGCCTGGAGGGCTTCCTGGAGGTAACATCTCAGCCTAAGCCTCCGGACGATGGGAGGCCAAGGCTGGCGGAGACCCAGCAGTCTGCTGGAAATTTGCCGACTGACAGAATGGGGAACTTTTAGCAGTCGTCATTTTATTTGTTTATTGTCTGTGTGGTTTTCCCAGTACTTTTATTCCGAACATTCTCAAACATACAGCAAGGTTGGGAGACTTCTACATGGTCAGTTCTCCCTCCACCTGCATCCTTCTGCCAGTGGCTGCTGTACTTGCTTTACTGCTTGCCTGACACACACCCTTCCCGCCGTCTGTGATGCAGCCTACGTTTTGATGCATTTCAAAGTCAATCACAGGCATCAGGAGGACACTTTGCTAAATACTGCATTATGCTAAATACGCCACCGTGTGTGTCACTGACTCGAGATCTATGTCTCTTTTACGGTTGATTTTATGCATCCTAATGATTGTTGTTTTAACTCTACTTGACAAGTCTCTCGCACATAAAATTCCCACAGACAGAGATGCCAGTCTTCCAGAGGGAGGGAGGACAGAGGCCCTGCTCTTAGCCCACCTCCTGCCCCTCATGGCAGGAGTGCGGTGAGATGTCGCATGGAAGCACCACAGACTGACAGAGGCAGAGCAGTGCTAAGCCTCCTTGTTCCAAGACCACAGCCCAGGCCAGGCGGGGTTAGGACAGACTGAAGCATGCCAGAAACCAGTTTGGGACTGAGGGTTTAGGCTTTTCTAAAAAAGAGAATCCTGAAGGCCAGAGTGGCCAGAGAAGTCCTCAAGGGGAAGGTGGGTTCTGAGCCAGACTTTGAAGGATGAGGAAGAGTTAGACAAACGGTATCCACAAGTGCTTTTTCTTGGGGACAGACAGTGGGGCAGGATATCTCTCACCATCGGGTAAGGGACAGGACCTCCTTCCAGTGGAACTGCCTCCTCCCAGCTGGACCTCCTCCCTTCACCCAGAAGTCCTCCAGGGCAGAACACAGGGCAGCACCTAGCTGCCCATCAGCCTTCCTGGTGTTCTTCAGCCCTCTGATGGGAGCTTCTGCATCCTTGGGACTTCACAGCAGGAACAGGGAGCTTCCTGCTAGGACGGCCTCATCATAAGCCCTGCAGTGTGGTGTCAGGGCCCCTCAGGCCCACCCACAGAGTTCTGAAGGCACACCGCCCTACATATATCATTCTCCGCAGAGCGTGTATTTCCTCTCCAGCAAAGCCAATTGTCCTCTGGCACCCCAGGTCAAATGTCACTTCCCCTGGGAAGCCTGTGTCTCCAGGGAGTCTATTGATCCTGCTCAGAACTCCCTGGACCCTCGTTATGGTACCACATTATAGGTGGCCACAGTGCCTTGTGCGCGAGTCCGCCCACTCCATGCTGGGCTCCTGAGGAGGGCCCAGTTTGGCTCCAGTGTGCCCTACCCTCGAAAGAGAGTGGATGTCCGTGTGTGTCAAGTGAGGTGGTTCATAGTAGAGCAGTGTCTGCTGCTTCTCAACAGCTCTTGGGAAGTTTCTTGGCCTCATATCCCTTTCTCTTGAAAAATGAGTAATTTGAGACTCTGCAAATGGAAGGAAGCACGGTGGTTTGAAAAAAAAAAGGTGAGGGCATTCTCAGAAGTGACTTCGTAAACACTGTGACAGAGGAAGTGGTTTATTCTTTCAAAATACAGTAACCACTTTGTGCACCCTGTGGCCTGCCAGGGTTGGGGACAGAGTGGCCCATGCTCTCCCTGACCTTAAGCAGACCCTCTGAATGCATCGTTCCAGGGGTGAGCAGAGCACATGGTGGGAGCATGCAGGGGGCCCCCTGACTCAGGGCAGGCGACCAAGCCACAGGTGACACAGGGTTGCTGAGGCCAGTGAGGCGCAGGGTGACAGCACACTGACCAGGGGGGCAGCTCAGGCAGAGGCCCAGGCACAAGAGGACACAAGCCTGTGCCCACATTGAACAAGGTCTAGACGGACAGGAAGGCGGAATGTTGGGAGGCAGGATGGGGCGGTAGTGTCTGAGGACTGCCTGTCATTCCTTGGTAGGAGCTGGTGGTCTCCAGGTCCAAGTGGGTATAGTAAGGACAGAGTACACCAGATTTCTCTCATGTTCTTTTTGGATAGGGTGACTGGAGTGTCTGAGGAACCCATGTCCTGGATACATAGGCAAAAGTTGTGGTGGGTGGAGTCCTGTTAAGCCACTTGGTAGCTAGTTTACTGAGCTTCCGCAGGGCTGTGTGATGCTTAGTGTCTGTCCGGTGAGATGTTCTCATCTGGGATTTGGGTGAGAATGCAGCAGTCTGGAAACTGGGTCTGCATATGATAGGAAGGCAAGAAGTAAAGGCAGTGGGTGCTAAGGCCCCAAAAAAGACCTCAGCATACTAGTGAGAGTCCAGACTGGAATAAACCCCTGTAAAGTAGTGAGTAGCCTGTCACAGGGTACATTCCAGCCTTGCAGACGAATGATTCAGTTTCTGGTAGCAGGTTGGACTAGACCAGGGATTGGCACGTGTTTTCTGTAAAGGGCTAAGAGCACGTATTTGAGGCTTCTCGGCCACGCAGTCTCTGTTGATGGGCTCTACTCTGCAGGTCAAAGACAGGGTTGCTGCAATCCAAGAAAACTTCTGTTTCCACAAACAGGTATCTCACTGGACTTGGCCTCAGGCTGCAGTTTATGAACGCTAGATTAAGGAGTGGTTTTGAAACACTGACCTACCCAGCCAAGCTGGTCAGTAACTGTTATTTCCAATCTGCAGTGAAATGGGAAAATTAGGGAGAATGTAATGAGTTTTGTATAGAGCGGAATTGGTTCTCTTAAGTGGTCATCCTAAATTTAGAGATTATTTCCTGCTTTTTTTTTTGCTGCTGAAGAATCTTTTTTAATCAAATGAGGGTTGTTGTGGGTGGCAGTTTTCAGTTTGCTTACTAGTAGCTCACCTGCTGTCTCGTCTGCACACTGGGGATGCTAGGAGCCTGGGAGCCCCAGGATGGTAGTGTGAGCACATTGTGTTACTGGGCGCCTGGAAACTCCAGGATGGGTGGTGTGAGTGCATTGGGTTGCTGGGAGCCCCAGCACGGGTGCACAATGTGTGCACATTAGGTTGCTAAGAGCCTGAGAACCTCAGGACGGTGGTGTGAGCACATTGGTTTGCTAAGAGCCTGGGAGCCCCAGGACGGTGGTGTGAGCACATTGGGTTGCTAGAAGCCTGGGAACTCCAGGATGGGTAGTGTGAGCACATTGGGTTGCTGGGAGCCAGGGAGCCCCAGCACGGGTGCACAGTGTATACACATTGGGTTGCTAAGAGCCTGGGAGCTCCAGGATGGTGGTGTGAACACATTGGATTGCTGGGAGCCTGGGGACTCCGGGACAGGTGGTGTGAGCACATTGGGTTGCGGGGAGCCTGGGAGCCCCAGGATGGTGGTGTGAGCACATTGGGTTGCTGGGAGCCAGGGAACCCCAGCATGGGTGCACAGTGTGTGCACATTGGGTAGCTAAGAACCTGAGAGCCTCAGGATGGTGGTGTGATCACATTGGTTGGCTGAGCCTGGGAGCCCCAGGATGGTGGTGTGAGCACATTGGGTTGCTGGGAACCTGGGAACTCCAGGATGGGTGGTGTGAGCACATTGGGTTGCTGGGAGTGCCAGTATAGGTGGTTGAAGACATTGGGATGCGGAAGCCTGGGAGGCCCAGGACAGGTGCTGTGAAGACACTGGGATGCTGGGAGCCCCAGAGCAAATACAGTGGGAGCCCCAGGACGAATGCTGTGGGAGCCCACCTCTCACGCTCCGCTGTCTCTCCCTCCTCCCGGGCCTGCTAACAGCAGTGGTCGGGGCTGGCATCGGGGGCGCTGCCGTGGCCCACTTCCTCCAGCAGCACTTTGGACCCCAGGTGCACATCGACGTGTACGAGAAGGGGACCGTGGGTGGTCGCCTAGCCACCATCTCGGTCAACAAGCAGCACTACGAGAGCGGGGCCGCCTCCTTCCATGCCCTGAGCTTGCACATGCAGGACTTCGTCAAACTGTTGGGTGAGTGTGTGCTCCTGGGCTCTACGCCCCGGGGCTGGCGGCAGCACCAGGCCCTTCCCAGATTGCCCAGAGCACGGGCCAGAAGGTCATGGAGCCCAATCTCCTCATTTTACAGATGGAGCAGCTGAGACCAGAGAGGGGAAGAAACTTGCCTGAGGTCACACAGTGAGTTAGTTGCAGAACCGGGATTAGAACTCAAGTTTGACTCCCAGGCCAGTTTCTTTCCCTTGCATTTGCTGCCTCTGACCAGCCGTGACCACAGCAGCCCCCTCGTGCTGGCATTTGCCACATGCCTGGCACCCTCGCAGGTGGTATGTGGGCATCACCTACCAGCTGCAGAATAGGTGTTAGGTCTCCTCCTAAGGAAGCTTAAGCTCAGAGAATGTGTAGGCCCTAGCAAAAACCATGCAGCTAGGCATGCCATTCAAGCCCAGTCGTGTCTGACCACACCACAGATGCAGACTGGCACAGACTTTTCACTTCTCAGAAGCAATTCCCCAGGCAGTCTTCTAGGTGTGCGAAGTGGCCCATACACAACTTACTCATCATGGCATTGTCTGTGGCAGTGCAATGTTGCAACTAGCCCTGTCTGGCTACCCGCCAGGACCTGGGTTAAGTAGATTATCATGCAAGCACACAGCAGGCCATTCAGCAGCCAGAACGCAGGTCTCCGTGCCCAGTTGGGGTACGCTCTCCAAGATTACAGTGTTGTCAAGGAGCAGAGCGGCATGTGCCCATGTGGGTGGGGGAGGGGTGGGTTATGGCAGCTGTGTCCATGTCAGAGGCCACTGCTGTGAGCTGTGGCGTGCGGGGTGGCTATAAGGAGATGTGCTCTTTCCACGGGATCTTGGCACCCAGGGCCACCCTCTCAGATCAAGCCCTGTGACTGCCAGCCGCCGGGCACTCTGTGATGGCATCTGAACTTCCCACCCTCCTTGCTGAGTGGATCCCTGTTGAAAAAAAGTCCAATGGTGCATTATTTCACGTGCGTTGTTCTATTGACAAGGAAGACCAAACGTTTTCCAGTGCATCCGCCACTGTTTGTAAACATGCGGCCCACCCAACACACCATCATGTTTGCTTCTTTAACGGAGCATGTGCGTGTGCATGGGAAGCCCAGAAGCTCGGAGGAAACCTGAGGATTACTTGTCTCCACAGGGCTGAGACACCGGCGCGAGGTGGCGGGCAGGAGCGCCATCTTTGGTGGGGAGCACTTTGTGCTAGAGGAAACCGACTGGTATCTGCTGAATCTCTTCCGCCTGTGGTGGCACTATGGCATCAGCTTCCTGCGGCTGCAGATGTGGGTGGAGGAGGTCATGGAGAAGTTCATGAGGTAGGGCTGGTGGGCGACGAGGCCGCGGGGGGAGGCGAGTGGGAAGGAATCCAGTGTGACTGCATGGTGGACAGGAGAATCCTGCTGACTTTGAGAGCCCAGCTCGGCTCAGTGCAGGCTCAGAGCACGCCCCTCGCTTGGGAGCCAGCCCTGTTGGTGCAGGGAGGCCTCAGGCTCATCATGCTAGTGTTGTCTCCTTCCCTCTGCCACACTGACGAAGCTCGGGTTGCATGCTCCCTCACCCTCAGGGGCTGAGCTGGGAGGTGAGCAGTGGGGAGTGAGTGACTGTAGGCATGGCCCCCCCAAGGCAGCTGCTCGCACTCAGGCCTGCAGCGGCAGCCACATGGACCGCCCACCTCATGGCCTAGGTCAGCCATGCGGAACGCCCTCCTCATGCCCTGGATCAGCCACGTGGAATGCCCACCTCATGGGCCAGGCCAGCCCTGTGGAATGCCCACCTCAAGCCCTAGGTCAGCCACATGGAATGCCCACCTCCCGGGCCAGGCTAGCCACACACAATGCCTACCTCATGGCCTAGGCCAGCCACATGGAATGACCACCTCGTGGCATAGGCCAGCCATATGGAATGCCCACCTCATGGACCGGATCTTCCATTTTTCAGAAAAAGCTAGATATCCAGAGTGATATGTGAATCTCCCAGTTTTTCAGTGGCTACACCAATGCATCTCGTGTGCCACGGGAAACATGTCCATGGACCAGGTGCAACCTGTGGGCCACTGGTTTAAACTTTCCTGGCCCCCAGTGTTTCCATCTAGAAAAAAATGTCTTTCTTCACCGCTTTCTCTCTCACCAGCCCCTTCCCCATCACCTTGGGTCCCAGCTCTGGAGGACAAGTGGTCTGTCCCTCACTGCCTATGCACTGTCACTCCACTTTGGCCTAGAACCTGTCCTGGGGGTGCTTATCGCTCCAACCCTCGGCTCCCACGTGGCCCATGCCCTCCTTCCTGGCTCCTGTAACCATGCTGCTTGGGGCACTGTTGTTCTGTATTCTTCAAGGGCTGCCAAAGACTGTGTCCTCACCTCTCTGTCTTCCTTCTGATATTTCTTCCTCGTTCCCTTTTCAAGCCCTCTAAGGTTGGCGTCTCCCTTCTGTGGGAGACGATGGAGACAGTGTCTCCTGCCAGCTCAGTTTCTCCTTCAGCTCCTGACCCCCGTTTCTGTCTGCTGTCTGGACACGTCCACCTGGTGTCCTGCTGATAGCCAAGCTCAGCATGTTTACAGAGCAGCCCCAGAACAGGCAGCATGTCAAAGACCAGCCATCCAAAGCCCTCAGTAGATGGTTCTGGTGCGTGCTAGTCCCCAAGATGGGATGAGCAGTAGAGGGACAGGGTGTGAGCCCGGCAGGGGTGGGAGGCCCGTTAGGTCAAGCCAAAGAAGAGGGCAGGCTGGGCCAGCAGAGGGCGACAGTCTTGGCATGAGGCTGCTGCTGTCGGGTCCAGTGTGGTCCCAGAAGCCAGAGAGGAGCCGGCCTTGCTGGAGAAGGGGTGTGTCTGCAGGGTGACTGTGGCCCCCTGCCTGGCAGTCGCAGCTGGGTGAAGAAGAGTGATGGACTGGGGCCTCAGGTGAGGCCCCCATGCCGTCCCTTTGGGTGGGACAGGTCCACCTTAGCAGGCCCAGGGACATCACCACCTTCCCTCCCACCCTGTGTGTCGAGGAGGTGATGGGTTCCAGGTGGCCCGCCAAAAGCCTCCTGCACAAGGCCCCCGGCTCTGCATGTCTCCCAGGATCTATAAGTACCAGGCCCACGGCTACGCCTTCTCGGGTGTGGAGGAGCTGCTGCACTCACTGGGTGAGGCTGCCTTCATCAACATGACCCGGCGCTCCGTGGCTGAGGCCCTGCTGCAGGTGGGCGTTACACAGCACTTCATCGACGATGTCGTCTCTGCCGTCCTGCGGGCCGGCCACGGCCAGTCGGCAGCCATGCCTGCCTTTGCCGGTGAGCGCCCAGCTCTGCTCCTGCCCCTGCGTCCAGAGTAGCCTCACCTCCATCCTGCTCATTGCCAATGCCCAGGCCCTCTGCTGCCCACTCCTATCCCAACACTGATCAGTCCTGGGTCACACTGGGCTCACAGCACGCTTCTGTTAAATAAATGAGTGAGGAGGGTCATGGTAGCCAGCACCTCCCGTGAGCCCAGAACACACCATCTGGCCCTGGACACAGTGGCTCCTTCCCAGCTTCAGGTCCTGGCTTGTGTCCCCTCAGTGTGGCTTCCCCGTGCTCTGGTTGGGTCCTTTGTAGTGTTCTTGGGTAGAGCTATAATGTGCATACCATATAGCTCACCCACAAAAAGCGTGCAGTTCAGTGGGTTTTAACGTATTCCAAGAGTTGTGCACCATCGCCACAATTTCAGGGCATTTTTATCACCCCAGAAAGAAGCCCCCATCCCTTCAGCTATCTCCCCACCCCTGGCCTTCCAGCCCTAACAGCCACAGACCTGCCCTCTGTTCTGAGATGTGCCCACTCTGGGCACCCAGCCTGTGGCCTGGGAGGCGCCCTTCCACTGAGCACGGTATTTCTCTCGCATCACACTGTAGACTTTGTTGTGTCTATTTGCATGTTTGTTGTCCCTGTGCCCATGGTGGGGCTTATGCTCTGGTGGGGAAGCTGTCGAATCGCCCCCCTGCACAGGGATCCTGAAACCCAACGGCCCTTCCTGTCTGCCCAGGGGCCATGTCACTGGCTGGGGCCCAGGGCAGCCTGTGGTCCGTGGAAGGAGGCAACAAGCTGGTCTGTTCGGGTTTGCTGAAGCTCACCAAGGCCAACGTGATCCATGCAGCAGTGACCTCTGTGACCCTGCATGGTTCGGGTGAGTGACAGGAGACGCGGCCACACCCACTCCTAGGAAGCAGGCTCTCCTGCCCCTCTGCACCCCAGCCCTAGTCTATGCTGTGGAATGCTAACAGCATCAGTGGAAGGGTGGCCTGAGAGGGCACTGTCCCGGTTCACATGTAAGCACTGGGAACTGAGACTGCCACTGTGTAGCCTTCCTCCTTGACCCGTGAGGACTGAGCAGTGGCTTGCCCAGGCTCCCCCAGCTTGTCGGTGGCAGAACCAGAGCCAGAGCTCAGTCCGGTGCTCGCCTGCAGCCTCACCCATGGCACCAGGGTCCTGTGCCCTTGGTGCCAGGCCCAGGCAAGCAGATGTCTACACCCATCTCCTCTCTCCTTCTAGAGGGAAAGGCCCTGTACCGGGTGGGCTATGAGAGTGAGGCAGGGAGTGGCTCTGACCTGTACGACATCGTGGTCATCGCCGCGCCCCTGGCCCTGGACAACAGCAGCCGCTTCACCTTCGAGGGCTTCAGCCCTCCCATCGCAGACGTGCAGGGTGCTTTCCAGACCACTGTCGTGTCCCTGGTCCACGGCTACCTCAACTCCTCCTACTTTGACTTCCCGGACCCCAAGCTCTTCCCCTTTGCCAGTGTGCTCACCACCGACTTCCCCACCTTCTTCCACACCCTGGACAATATCTGCCCTGTCAACGTGTCTGCCAGCTTCCGGCGGAAGCAGCCCCAGGAGGCAGCCGTGTGGCGAGTCCAGTCGCCCAGACCCCTGTTTCGGACACAGCTGAAGACGCTCTTCCGCTCCTACTACTCAGTGCAGACAGCCGAGTGGCAGGCTCACCCCCTATATGGCTCGCGGCCCAGCCCTCCACGGTTCGCTCTGCACGACCAGCTCTTCTACCTCAGTGCCCTAGAGTGGGCAGCCAGCTCTGTGGAGGTGACGGCCGTGGCAGCCAAGAACGTGGCCTTGCTGGCCTACAACCGCTGGTACCAGGACCTGGACAAGATTGACCAGAAGGATCTGATGCACAAGGTCAAGACTGAGCTGTGAGGCTCAGGGAGTCCAGAACACCGGCCTGAAGATGGGCTGCAGCCAAGTGGAGCGTGCCAGGCCTCCCTGACCCACGTGTCAGGTCAAGCATCTCCCTAGCACCAGCCATGGCCCTGTCGGCCTGTTGCCAGAGGACCCTCTGGGTGGCTGCTGCTGCTTTTAAGGGCGAGAATAGGAAGAGAGAAGGAAACCGAAGCCAGTGTATTTCTTTTATTTATTTTTTTAAAGAAGAAATTAAAGTACACCTTTGTGAGCTGTTCTACTTGGTTTCCTAACTAGGCCCAGATGACCATGGGGGGGAGGTAAGGCAGAGAGCTCCAAGCCTCGCTTTTGCTGCTTTTTACTACCTGATCCCAAAAGGAACGAGCAGCTGAGGCAACCTATGATAAAATGTTTACAACCAGATGGTGACACAATAGAAGGGAAGATGAGAAAGTCTAAGAAATTATAGTGGTTCCTGTTGGCTGTGGGCATACTAACTGGGAGACCCCGGTTCAGAACTTACTAAACACCTTCTCCAGACCTCTCAGGAACACTGTACATGGAAGGAGGTGATTCTGGTAGGACCCAAGGAAGGATGTTTGCCTTGACAGAGCCGTCAGTATAGCTCCAAGCTTCCTGGCAGCCAGTGGGAAAAGAGAAACATACCAGGCTACAGGAAGAGATAGGCTTTTCCTTGGCAGCTAGAGGAATTTGAGCATTCTCTTCCTTATGTAAGCGTTGAGGAGTCATATAATGGATTTGTCTTGCAAAGAACACAGGTCCCCAGGTGGGAGACAGTGGTCATGTCTCACCCCCAAATATTCATCCCAGAAGAAAGAGAATAGGTGTGGGGTGTTCTTCAGAGGTTAGCCTGGTGCTTTGGCGCTAGCTTGAGAGAAGAGGAGAATTATGCTTTGCTTTTGCTTTTTCTACAAATCTTTAAAGATTGGTAGTTCTAGAAAAGAAAGTAAAGGTCCTTTTCATTCCTTTTTGACTTGTCCCTTCTGGAAAGGGAGGGAACAGAGGAACTAAGTCCTAGGTGCCCAGGGACCAACCACCTCACTCAGATCTCTGGGGAAGGGGGGGGCGCTTGAGAAAGATGCAGAAACCCAAGGCCCACCCAGACTTGCTAAATCAGGCTCGAGGGGAGGCCTGGAGATCCAGCCAAGGGAGTTGGAATGGTGGCTGTCCTAACGAGAGTGGTGCCCAAGGCCACCCAGCCACTCCCTCTCTGCAGAGATGGAGACAGAAACCCAGAGAGAGGAAATGGCGTGCTCAGGGTCTTCTGGCAAGTTCATAGAACGGCTTCTCCTTACAATTGACTGAGTTCATCCTGGGCGAGATACCCTTCCAGTTGGTGGATGCCAAGCTGGCTCTGAGAGGCTTACAATGCTGAGTGGTGGCAATGGCGATGAGAGGGGTAGACCTTTAAAGCACACGCGGTGTGTACCTGGTTACTATGGAAACTATGAAGCTAACGCATCAGTAAGAAGACTTCTGACTGAGGTAGCAGAAAACCAAATTCAAACTGACCTGATCAGTGACAGGTATTAATTGATCACCACGACAGAAGTCCAGGCCTGGAGCCGGTGCTGCCTCCAGCTCCAGGGTCCCTCATGGTCACAGATGTCACAACAGCTCCCAGGCGGAGACAGTCTCCCGTAGCCATTGAGTCAAATCCTGGGCTCTGAGTTAGCTGGCTCCCCCTGAACCCATTCCTGTGGCCAAGGGGATGCCACATGAGGACTAGCTGGGGACTCGGATACCAGACCGATAACTGTGACGTGAGGGCTGATATCAAGCTGACTGGCTTAGAGCAGTCAGGGCCCATCCCTGAGCAGAGGTGATCTCATCCCATCTTCAGGGTCGGAGGGGAAGGGTATGGGAGAGCACAGCACAGAGAGCCACACACAGGGGGCTCGCGAGCCCAGGGAAATGAGTGTGCAAAGGCCTCTCTGAATGGTCTGTGTTTGAAAGGAAGATGACCACGGGCTGTCTTGTGTCACTGGCCACTGGTATTGGGCCCGAGGACCAAGGACAACACAGAATGTATCCCTGGTGACCACTCCTCCCTTGTGTCCCTAAGGAGGACGTGTGCCCCCAAGATGCACACCAGGACTGTCACATAGAATCCTCGTCCTCGGCAGGCTTGGTTCCATCCCAGTGCGGCTGAGGGGAGCTATCTTTCCTTCAGAAACCTGTACCTGGGAAGGCAGGCACATGACCTGGCGTTCCATGGCCAAGACCCTGCCAGCTGTAGTTCCCACACTGCCTGCTCCCATACCTAGCGCCAGGAGTCGGCCCTCACTGCCGCCCTTCCTTGCAGGAGGAGGAAGGACAGAGAGAAGCAGCAGGAAGCCTTTTCAGGCCTGGACAGAGGCCCCCAGGAGGAGAGTAAGCGTTTGTCAAGACAGAGAGGGCCCTGCCACCTGCCAGACAGAACAGAAAGGGTTACGCTCATCCTCTGCACCTGGGACAGTGTGACAGATGTGCCGCGCCCCCACAGGAGGGCCTTCCGAGAGCAGGTGATCCAAGTGGGATCTCAGCACTCCACGAGTGGGTGAGGTGGGTGAGCAAGGCCTGGGGTGAGGGATACCTTGCCCCCACCCACCTAGCAAGGAACCATGGAGGGCATAGGGCCACTTTAAGGGCTCCTCTGGAAACCTCTGCGTTCATTCCCTACACGGGGCACCTCTTCTACGTGGGCACCATGCCCGGTGCTAGACTCAGAGGTGAGGCCCCTCTCACACTGGAGAGCTAGTCACTGTGCGAGGGTGAAAAACACGAAACACATTTACTCTCAGGCCAAAGGAGGCTCGGGTGCCGTGTGGGCCCAGATCTCCCAAGGTCCTCAGACCCTCCCGCTGCCTCGAAGCAGGATCTGGGAGGCCCAGCCCAAGCTCACGAAGCTGGGCTTCTGAGTCACAGAATGGCAAAGCCAAGAAGGATCTCAGGGACCCTTCAGCCCCATAGGGTCATTCCCCAGACGTGGAGCCCGGAGCCCAGGGGGAGGAGGCGGCATCCTCTAAACTAAGGCACATGCTGAGCACCGTGTCTCACCTCTGGGAGAAGCAGGGCGGCCCTTCTCTATATACTCATCCCTCTGCCTGGGGCCTTGGGGTCTCCTGGAACTAGGAGCAGCCCGCCTGCAGCTCAGCTCTCCCCTCGCCCTCACCCCACAGGAAGGTCGTGGAGGCTGCAGGCCTGGAGAGCAGACTGTGGGACTCAGAGACAGCTCTGGGGGTGGAGAAGCCACTGCAGAAGCAGCAGGGCAGGCACGGGGAGCTTGTTTTCCACGTGCCTGGCTCCGGGCCGGGGCTTCCTGGGGTCATTTCGACAGTATCCACCGTAGAACAATACCAAAAAAGGTAAGTGACTTCCACGGCAGGCAGGCACATGCCTCCCTTTCATGAATTAGACCCCAAGATGTGCAGAGCCAAGACCGCTTGCAGCACTAAAGTTAGAGCCGCCAAGTAAGCCAAGCAGACTGCTGCGCCGGGCTGGTGGCCCTTTTTTTGAAATTAACTCCAAAGTGCTGGCTGGCTATTCTTACCTCAGAAAACAGCCTGCGCCCCTCAGCTGTCTTGGGGGAGGGAAGGTGTTTTTAGGCCCTAGAACAGCTGATTTGGGATTTGCTTCGGGGTTAGGAGGCCTGGGGTGGTGGGGGAAGTGAGGAGTCAGCGTCCTGGGCCAAGAGCCCACACGGGGTTCAGGACATATCAGTCCACGCTGCGTTTTTTTGATCAGCAGTGTCTAGGTATAAACCAGTGGTTCTCAAAGTGTGGTCCTCTGCCATCGGCACCTGGAAACCACTGTATTAGAAATGCAAAGAAAGCTGCATACAAATGCCAAGCATCAGCCTTCACCTGAATTAGAATGTGTAGGTGGGGATGCGGCAGTCTAAGGGACCCTTCAGGGGGTTCTGATGCTGAGTGAAGCTTTCCACCCGCTGGATTCTGGATTCGGCAAGCCAGCCAACCAGACCCTCTGTGGACAAGGCTGGAGGAAGGGGGACGACACGGGGGGGCTTCTCAGCTGTGTTCAAAGCCGGGAATGCTCAGCCCAGAAAAGGTGCATTCTCACATGAAAAGTTCAGGGCTCACCGGACCAGCTTAAAGCTCCGGCTGGAGGCCCCTCTGTGGGTCTAAGTCTGACCTGCAGAGACTCAGAGCTGAGACCCTGGTGGACCATCTGCTCAGCCAGAGCAGGTGGCCCCACTTTGGCCCAGACTGGGCTTCAGAGACCGGCGCCTGTCAAAGGAGGACTGACTGACTTGGGGAGGGTTGGCTCTTGTTGAGGCCTGGGATGCTTTAAACCAACCAAGCTTCGGGGGGAAACAGAGACTTACAAACCCGAATCCGAGGCAGCCTGTGACGCCCTAGAAGGTGGAAATGATGCAAATAGCCTGCCTGCCTCCGTGTGGAGATCTCGCAGTGAGGGGCGATACTCCTTCATGCTGACTGGGGTGCACCACCCAGGCCCTCCAGCCCCGATCCTGGCCGTGGCTTCGGAGCCGCAAGGAACACAGCCCAGTCCTGCTTTCTCAAGAGCATTTACTTCCCGTGTGCTGGTGGGTGAGGGGGAGACGGGGTCCCGGACTCAGAAGATGCAGGTGCAGCCCACGGCGATGGTCTCCATGGCGGCGCGCTGGCGGCAGGGCCCCGTGCGCGGTGGTGGCGGGCAGAGGCGGCGG